CATGCTATACGGTAGAAAACCCGTCAGTGCAATTATCGAAATCATACAGCCAAGATTATTTTTCTTATATGGAGGACTTAAGCACCATACCCTTACCATTATGGTTAATCGGTTTTGCGCCACATCTTGCTTTGTCGAGTGAAACCCTCCAATAAAATACTGGAGGGTCAAGCCATCATCCCTCGCCCTTCGTCTTGAATTTATTGTTTATTACCAAGATTATTACCCTCCGTTCAGGACTTCGTGGAACTCTGAAATCCTCAAACGCTGCAACCATTAGTTGGAGTTAGCCGTAAAATTTCAAAATCGGCGGATAGCAGAAGAATCAAGATTTCTAGTCCAGAGATTTAATCAGAAATTCTCCCGACAGCCGGCCGCGGAAAGAAATAAGTACAACGGAGGAAAACAGTTTTCAGCTAAGCCGTCATCGAGCAAAAAGATATGGATGTAGCCAAACCCACCAGCGTACCCAGAAAACATCAGGAGTAAAATCGCCTTTAAACGAATAGTCGGACCTGAGAATTTGAGGGTTCAGACTCCTTGGGCATCAAAAACTCCCTCTAAAATGCACTCTGCAATACTGTGGTCGTGAAAAATTCCCAATTACCTATAATACAGGTTCTTTTAGATAATGTTTCCGTAGAAGCACTCGTGGAAACCTGAGCAGAGATGAACATCTTAAATAAAAATTTTTATTACAGATATTTTAGAAAAGTAAAATTATTTAAAAGTAACACGACGGAAATAATAACCGCTCAAGGGAAGGTGTGCGAATGTATCGGGAAATTGTCGCTTAAGGTGTAGGTTAAAGAAGAAAATCTAAAAATCATGTTTTTCGTGGTGAAAAATTTACAAAATAAAGTCATTCTGGGAACTTAATTCCTTAGGGCTGCAAATGCAAGAATTGATTTTTCAAGTAATTCAGTTACGTTGGATATGGAGCGAAGGTTGGTGGAAGATGCTGAAAAATTCTAGAAATCGATCTCCAGCATTTAAAGCAAGATGAAAGAGCAGAGATGCAAGAAATCGTAAGTAGATTTTCTTCATTATTTTCTGATAAGCCAAGGAACACCCAGATAGTAACTCATTCTATTGAATTAAAATCAACTGAACCTTGTAAAGCGAAACCGTACAGGTATGACATGCGACATGCGACGGAGGACGTGAGCACCACCCCTTTACCATATAGTTAAGTGGTGTAGCTTCACGTCCACCAGTATGTATAGTCGAACTTGAGGGCCACACGAGGGTATCGCACGGGGCGCCGAAACCCAGCTCCCGGTGTTACCGAAGGACGGTCTCACTGACCAAAAGCGTACTCCGGGAATATTCTCCCATGCGCTTGTCCGAGCCTCTGCATTTGGTGTTGTATATACAGAAAATTACATGGCATAACAAGGGTCATCACTGCATTTGCAAGCTGGGAAAGTCTAAGGCAGTATTGATAATGTCATTATTACATATTGTTGACAAACTATTGCTGCGTACCAATGACATAAATTATACATTTTACGTACATTGTACATACATTATATATACATTACATATACATTAATCATAATTACATTAAATAGTATTACATTATTACATTCATTTGTACCCTTATTGGGACCCAAATTACTTAAATTGAATTACTTAATTAGAGAGTATTCAGGTGCATTATTGCATATCGTTCTTACATTGCATGTAAATCTTTGCGTTACTCACATTTGAGCCCATTACAGTCTTAAGTTACTTAATTCAGTTACATAAATATCAAGGACTCGGACGCTAGGTGCATTAGATTTCACTTATTGCGCCTCACTGGCGTATGATAAAATATTCTATGGTACAAGGTTATATACATGCAGGGCTAGGATATGGAAACAGTAAGATGATAATGCATAAAACAATTATATGTGGAGACATGCTGAAATATAAAAATACCAACACAGATATCATAGATACATTAAACACATATGTTACATAAAATCAATAACTAACATACTATTATACCTACATTAATCAAAACATTACCTAAATATCAAGGACTGAGGCACTAGTTGCATTAAAATTTCACTTACTACTCCACACAGGGGCGCTTTAAAATATTCTATGGTACATAGTTATTTACATGCAGGGGTAAAACATGGAAAAAGTTACTTAACAATTATTAACACCCAATATCCTAAATACATTAAACTTTTGTTACGTAAACATTAATGACTTGGATACTATGTTTACATTGGACAGACATTGCATGGATATCACAGACTCAGACGCTGTGCATTTAAGCTTCACTTATTGCGCTACACAGCCACATATTAAAGTATTCTATGGTACAAGGTTATATATGTGCAGGGGTAAGTAAGGCATAGAAAACAGTTAGATAATAATGCATAAGACAATCATATGTGGAGACATGCTGAATTATAAGATACAAACACAGATATCATAGATACATTACACATACATTACATGAAAATATCTTAGATACATTACACACACGTTACATGAAAATTAATGTCTAAAATACTATATCTACATTAAAAAGGCGTAGCCTAAATATCAAAAACTGAAGGCACTGGTTGCATTAAATCTTCACTTAACTGCACCACACAGGGGCACGTTTAAAATAATCTATGTACATAGTTATTTACATGCAGGGGTGAAACTTGTGGACAGAGTTACATAACGATTATGGACAACAACATTATATATACATTAAACATATGTTACAAAAAAATTAGTGACTGAGATACTATGTTTACATTAAACCTGACATATATCAAAGACTCAGATGCTGGGTGCAATAACTTCACTTATTGCGCTACTCATGCGCATGCTTAAAATATTCCATGGTACATAGCCATGTACATGCAGGGGTAAAGCATGGAAAACAGTTACATATTAATGCATAATACAGTCATATGTAGAGACATGCTTAAATATAAAATATAAAATACAAACACAGATATCTATACACTGGTTATCATAAATTAAGGAAAAATCACAAAAATAGCGCTAACTCCCTCAAACATAAGCCAAAACGTGTAAAATTTCAATATGTTGCCAAGTAAGAGTATCTGAGTAAAACTGCAATATGCAAATTAGTGGCGCTGCAATCGGAATACGCCATCTGCGAGGAGAATAAAAGTCCACGTTTAAGAGCAAGTCCACATATTTGACTGTGATAGTGACATCAGAAATCTGAGATAGCCAATTCTTAACAATGACCTCGTAACAATGCCTGCAGAACTACGTTGGGAGACTAGCGGCAGGATAAAGTCAAACAGAAGTGACCAGATGGCTAAATGAGAGTTCTTCTGTGGTACAAAGACTTTGGAGGCAATTCCAAACCACAGATTTGGCATTTAGGAAGTTCAGCCAAGGATGGTGAACTGCTACGACGAGCGCCGATGACCAATATTTGACATTATGTGTCCGCAGGAATAGAACAGCTACTCCGACTCTTCTTAGATTCTCCCTTGCTGAAGCCACCGAAAGGTTCGTGTCAACGTCAATTGTGCGTAGAAGGCTTCACGAAGGTGGTTTGTATGCGAGACGACTAGTCGTTTGCGTGCCGCTCACGTCACGCTATAGGAGGGACCATTTGCAGTAGACACGACAACATGTCCACTGGACGCCTGATCAGTGGAGGGCTGTTCACTTTACTGATGAGTCCAGGTTTCGTCTAGAAAGCGATAGTAGGCGTTATTTGATATGGAGAGAACCTGGGAACCGTTATCTTCCGTCAAACATCCGTTAAAAAGTTGCATACGGAAGAGGCAGCGTCTGTGTTTGGGGTGGCATCTCTTTGGGTGGACGCACAGACCTCCATGTCCTTCCAAAGGAAACCGTGAATGCTCCGATTTATAGAGATGATATCCTTAATGCTTATGTTCGCCCATGTGCCGGGGCAATAGGTGATGCTTTCCTGTTTTAGGACGACAACGCAAAACCACACAGGGCTCGCATCGTAGATGATTATCTTCAACAGGAAGCAATTATGGAGTGGCTAGCTCGATCCCTGGACTTGAATCCGATCGAGCACGTTCGGGATGCTTAAGAGATGTCTAGCTGCTCTCAGTCTGCCCCCTCAGACCGTTGCGACGCTTGCAACTTCTTTGCAAAAGCAATGGCTCTTGCTTCCTATGGAACTGATAGACAGCATAATTGAAAGCATCACGCGTCTCTGTATTGCTCCTAGAGGCAACCATATTCTATATTGAAGGCAATATGAAAAAACCAAACACAACCTTCACAAAACACACACATACATTACATGAAAATCAATGACTGAGTTTTTGTCTACATTAAACAAACATTATATATATATCAAGGACTGAAACTCTGGTTGCGTTAAAACTTCACTTACTGCGCCTCACAGGTGCGTGTTAGAATATGCTATGGAACATAGTTATATACATACAGGGGTAAAGCATGGAAGACAGTTACACAAAATTGCATAGGATAACCATATGTGGGAGCATGCTACAATACAGAATACAGTCCCTGATATCATGGGTACAGTAAGCATATGTTACATAAAATCGGTACAATAAACCATTGGACAGTTATATGAAGAAACCATGCTAAAATATAAAAAACATACACAAATATCATAAATATAAAAAACATATACTGAGTACAATCAATAGTTTAGACACTATATTTACATTAAACACACGTTACATATAAATCAATGACTTGAACACTGGTTACATTATAGCTTCGCTTACTATGTTGGAGTTACATCAATACATTTGAACTGTAGTATAGCACATTTTGTCTTAGACACACATACGCACAGTTTGCAATTTGCAGATTACATTTGGAACAAACTTACAGATACTATTGCGTTTTAATATTACATGTGCCTATGTGGTTTGCATATTGGGTGTAAAATCAGACGCAGAGTTTAGGCGTCCATTCATTACAAATTTCACTGTAACTGTTGTAACGTTATGCAGTTCATATTGCATTGAGTATATGCAAGTGTGCTTAGGCTGCGCGGACTGCTATATTTGGCATAAGTCTGTGTTTAGGTCTGCCAGCTTATCCATCATACGTCCAATTTTTTGGATTAAGTGGCGCTGCTTAATAAGGAATTTACAAAATGACTGTCTGTTAGTCGTTGGTATAGGAACATGTTGTCCCTCTGTGAGTGGACAAGAAGTTAGGTAGTGCTCCGGGGAGCCTGTGTGTCCACACGTACATTGATCTGAGGAACAGATGCCAAATCGGTAGAAGTATACAGGAAAAGGTCCATGTCCCGAAATGTACCTAACCAGCTGTGAATTGGCAATGTTCCGTTCTGTGTCCACATAGCTGATGTGGTAGTGGACACGTCTTCCAGTGGTACTGTCATCCCATTCTTGTTGCCACTTGCCAATGGCTTTAAGTCGTAGTGACTTCTTTAGAAATGTGACCGGCCATGGGATATTGAACTGCAAATCTGTCGGGCCTAACGCCGCTTCTTTGGCAAGTTGGTCCGCCATCTCGTTTCCGAGATGACCCGCATGTGCTTTGATCCATTCAAGCTTGATGTGCAGGTTGCATTGGCGCAGATTTGCTTGAATGCCCTGTATTATTTTACTGACATGGTTGGGGTTCATGATGGCATGCAACGACGACAAACTGTCGGTTTTGATGGTGGCATTATGGATGTTAGAGGAGAGCAAATAGTTAACTGCTTGGGCAATTGCTATCGCTTCTCCTTGAAAAACACTGTTATGCTGCCGCAGTTGTGCCTTCCATCTTGCTTGAATTGTATCATGTCGCATGACTATGTATGAGCATCCCGCTTTTTCATCGATTTTGGAGCCGTCGGTGAAGATGTTAAATAGTGTTGGGGAATTAGTCGTAGACGGGTTGATGGTGACTTTGACACCAGTGCCTTTGCTCGCTGGGTGGACATGCAGTGGTCGATCAATGACTTCATATTCTTCTTCCGGATGGAAGTATTCCTCGTCAAACACAGTTGGCTTTTTGAGTTGCAGTATAATCTGTCTGGCCGCCTCTTCTTCAACTCGTATGTGTAGTGGGAGTAGACCAGCTAATACATTAAGAGCATCCGATGAGGTTGTACGGTAGGCCCTTGTAATGCCCAATGCGAAGGGCCGTTGTATGGTATAAAGATGTTTAATCTTCCTGCCCTGCATTGGGTGGCACCAAACTGCTGCTGCGTATGTAGCTATCTTTTCCACTACTGTCGTATATAACACTTTTTGTATGTGTGGATTGAGTCCCCACTTATAACCATAAAACTGGCGCATTTGCTTAACTATAGCACTGGTTCTTAGCTTGAGATCTTGAATGTGGGGGATCCACGTCATTTTAGTATCAAAAGTGACACCCAGATATTTCAAGGTATTCACAATTTTAATTCTCTGCCCATTTAGTTTGATCGCAGGGCGTCCTGCAAGCGATCTGCCTTTCTTAGGGGTCAAGAGGATTTTAGATTTATGATCTGCTATTTTTAGTTTAAGATTAGTGCATTTGACATAAAGGAGGTGACACACTTCGTTACAGTTTGTCTGGAGAACCTTCCTAGTGCGTACCTTGACGACCATTGCAGGACAGGACAGGACAGGAAGTGCAGGAGGGCACCACGACATCGTCATAGACAAAAAAGATATTGTCTTACTGCGCTAACCTTTTCTGGCATTTATTAAGAGAAAAGATTACATTTCAGGTCATTACATTACGCAGTTGACATAATAAATTTTAAAGTAACAAGTTATTTCTAGGAAGAACAATTAGATAAACTGGGGTACAGGTAATCGAGGTAAAGATATATTGGTATACAGGAATCAATATGCAGATAACATGTTACAATTAGAATTACAGAAGAGGGGAAAAGCCTGAAAAATGTTGCTTGAAGGATACGTTTGAATATTTTATATCACTAAATTCTCTATACTGTGACAAATGAATATAGATAGCTCTGATTACTTCGCTTATTTTTCAGTATAAAACCTATGTGCAAGTTTAAAATGTTATTTTAACCAAAAATGAACAAAATTGTCTAGTTGTAGCATAAAACATTTCGTCTGAAAATAAAACAATAAATTGCGTTTTGTGGGAAAACTGCATCAGGCTTACCTGAGTGTGAAAGGATTAGAATGACTTCCCTCTTTCTAAAGCTAAAGCTTTGGAGCTAGACCGAAAAGGAATACTGACCGTTTCTCTGCCTGCCAACAAAAGAGCACTAATCACCTCGTTATTAAGACTCGATTTGAAAAATTTTCCACCCTTTCTATAACCGCTGAGCGTAGAGCCCCCGGTGAAAGAACACAACTATTTTTCGTGCCCACGTGAAAAGGTTAAATCAGAGTTGTTATACAAGTGTTGTGCATCTCCAGTATTTCTGTCTGCTGATTTTGACGTTCTTAACATTACCGTTCCTGCGTTATCTACCTCTTGTTCGGACGCGGGGATGGCCTGTTGGTGTATTTGGTGTATTAAATTATGGCAAAGCACACTAGGGCTATCTGCCTCCTTCGTGGCTTTCTAAGGTGGGTATGTGGTTTTCCCTCTGGATGTCCTGTTGGACTTGGGTGGTATGCGCGCATGCTGCTCTAGTAGTCGATGTTACCTCGGACGTTGGCAACCGTTCGTTGATAAATTGGACAGTCCGTGGCAAAAGCGGGTGCTGGAAGTTAATTTTCGTTCCAAAGCGACAGTTGGAATCCCCACAGTTAATGCAGGAAGGGATTTCCGCCGTGCACTCCTTTGTGGGGTGGTGTCCGGAGCAGTAAGCACAATAGAACTTCTTGGAGTGGCAGGAGTCTTGGGCATGGCCAAACTGCTAGCATTTATAGCATCTTCTGATGCCCAAGAACTCCGTGATGCTGTGTGCGACTGCCAGGCGGTGAACACTCTTTTGATGCGAATGGCTGCGGCAAATCCTTCTGAAGAACATTCAAATACCCATTTGACCCTGTTGGGTCTCCTTTCTCGTAGCCTGAAAAGGGCCTTAAATTCTTTGGCGGAAACTCCTGCAGTCGAACTAATTTCAGTGATGAGTTCTTCTGGTGCCACGTTTTCTGGGACATTGTGGACCGCGCATCTGGGGCGGCGTCTTTTGCGTTGTTGGACATCGACATCTAGCTGTGCTTTTTGGATATGGACTTGAAGTTCTTCGATATCTTTTGAGGTTTGGCAGAAAACCTTTAGGCCTCCTTGTGATGTGGGCGAAATACGTTCTACTGTTGCTGGGATTTTAGAAAGTGGAAGTTTCTCCTGTAATATTTTCCTGAGTTCACCTACTGGTTTCTTGGAGAGGGGTTTGATAACTAGGCTCGGCTTATTTGTCTTCCGGAGGACTTCAGCAAACGACGGAGGGGAGTTGGCTGTTCCGGGCAGTGGTAATCTTTCACTATTGACCTGTTGAGTTGGAGATAGGGGTGGCTGCGTATGTACCGCTTGGCAGCAGACGAAAGTAGAGGTGTTCGTGCCAACGTCTGCTTTGTCTGGCCTCGACTCGTATGCGGGACCTTTTAACGCTAATTCCTTAAGAGCATCTAAAGAGGCTTGAAGTCGGTCTCTAAGGTCTTTAGACAGACAGAATTTATTACTCCTGAAGGCTGTAGCAGCCTGTCTAATGTCCTCGTAAAGGGTTGCAACTCTCTCCTCGTGTGTCAAGTCCGCAGTTAGTACTGCAGTAGGGTCAACAGGGCCTTGAGCACCCGTATTATCTATTTCTGTTGGTAACACAGAAGAGCGGGGCATGGCATAAAAAGAAGCAGTACTCTCTAATTTTACTAATTACTCGTGGAAGGAGTGCGTTGGAACACTATTCAAAAATTGCTCAAGTTCACGAACACTAAGTATTTCTGTGATGTACTGTAAAACTTTGACAATGCAACACGAAATCGCAATTCATGCACTGTATCACACCGTAATCTTACTAATTAGTAAGTGCACATGAAATACTTTCAGAATTGCACTATATTCACACGATCACCTATCACATGATCACTAATCACTTGAACACTGATCGTATTTACCCTGATCACCAAGATTACTTATCACTTGATTACTATTCACAAAATCGCTGAGCACTGATCACTTGTATACTAATCACAAGATCACTAATCACTTTAACACTGATCACTTAATCACTTTATCACTTACGCACTGATCACTTGTTTACTAAACACAAGATCGCTAATCACTTAGCACTTAGGCACTACTATTTAGAATTGCAGTTCTATCACGTCAATTTTAGACACTGAAAGAAGTCAAGTAATATTTTTCTCATTTTATTCTCTAGTATGCTAAAAGTATGTGATCGTAAAATGTGAAAGTATCTATTGTGCTAAGGTAAATTACTCGTAAATGCATATTTAAATTCTATAGAAATTAGAATAATTATGTAGTGCGAAAAGTCGAAGCACGTATGAAAAGTTAATGTAACAAAATCTTGAAGTGTAAAAGTTAAATGAAACAAAATCGTAAATTTAAGAAATTTTAGTCAAATTAAGTCATACGTTTCCGAGCGAAAGCTTGCATGTTTCAAAAGACCGAATGTGGGAAAGGATTAGTGTTGTATGGATAGGTTTTGTAGGGCTATCCACTAACACTCCAGTTATTTTTCATATTTATTAGCTCATGGAGAATTTAAGAATTTGAATTAGGGAGTGTCTTAGAAGGTTGGTATGTGTAACTATTGTGTGTTTAGGGCCCGAGTTGTTCACGTTGACATAAAGCACTTGCGTTTTTGTACCACATATTGTGGAGAGCCAAACAGGGGATTAAGCTAAAATTAAGCATGAATATGTATGCATACTTGTGTCCCTTAAAAACCGCAATGTTTGGTAACTTTGAAAAAATTACATAAAAGTTAGAAACTCGAAAAAGAGTTAGAAACTCAATAAAAGGAGGAAAGCTTGTAAATATAAAATTTTATGTATTGTATGTTTAGAAACATGTGTTCATACTTATTCCTTCCAGGAGGCTGGAAGCACAAGACTGATTGCCCTAATGATCAAGAACGATGGATTCTACAACGAAACATTTAGATGAAAACGAATTATTTGTGTAGTAATGAAATCAAAGTTCAGTTCTTGTATGTAAACGGGGCTCAGGGCTGTTTATCTAGAATTTAACAGTTTGTAACAAGTCTTTAAGGACCTTCTTCCAAGTCTGCTAAATTCTGGCATCGGCAAACTGTAGGGATTTATACTTATTTTAACTAATATTTTAAAGTTTTAATTGAAACTTTCCTATAAGCCTTCATTCCGCTAATTCTTAGTGCCAGAATAGTTAAATGTTGCAGTGCGTGTAACGAATGCAAATTTTCTATTTGGAAGGAAGTAGTTGAAAGCCGAGTTTTGGTAAGGAAAAGGAGGAGTTAGGCTCTAGCTGCCGTCTCTGCCCTAGGTACGTTTGCTCATTGCTGGTTCAAGTGGCTTAAATGCATTGATTTGCCGCCACCAGCTTAGAAGGGGGTTGAAGTTCGGGATATCGCTGAGCCCTGCAGGCTAGTTTATCACTTGTTAAACATTTCAACTATCTGACTTTCAGTTACCGCCCAAGTAGAGGCGAAGTTTGTTAGCGTCGAGTTGACGCATTGTAAATTTTAAAGAGTTAATTAAGGGTACATGAACCCTTCTCCTATGTAGTTTCCTGCTACTCCAGTGTACAGATAGAAGTTAACCCACCTGGACTCTACAATTTAATTAATTAAACTACAATTACAGCTATTGTATAATTATAACTATAGTTTTAATTATATTGTAGTTGTATTCAAGGGTAACGGCAGAAGTTTTGGCTCTTGCCTGCGAATTCAGAAATGGCACCTTCGAGAAAATTTTGATTTTTCGCTTTCTTTATGAATTGTATGAGATTGTATAGAGGGAATAATCAAAACAACTATGCTGAGGAAAAATCTGTTAATCAAATTTTTGTGGGAATGCTTTTATATATCTAATACGGCATACATGTATTTATCATTGACCCAGTAAAGATTTACACCCTTTTTTGTTCGCAAGCGTTGTCGTATTTGGGATTAATTTGTATATTTGGTTTTGAAAATGATCATTCTTCGGTTGAAATATCAACAAGTTAATGCAAGAATATTTTAAACTTAATCGCTAAACTAGAAATGAAGAATAAGTTGACAAGTTCTCTTGAATATTTTCATTTGTACTTTTCATAGCTCTTTAACCTCGCATGTGATGGTAAATTTCAGTATAACCTATGTCTTTTCAGCTGCGATATTTTTCAGTAGAATTTAATTTTTACTTACTGGTAACAATACAAACATATCAGCATTTATTGCTCAAAAATGTCAGTTTAAGTGCACAAAATATCAAAATTCAATTCAAATAGGCTACTTTACATTTATCTATAGTTTTTGTGTTGTGATTTGTCATTATGTTTGACTGAAGCTGTTCTGTCTTAAGTTTCATTCGAATCTCAGTTGCAAAATTAAATTCTAGTTATCTTCATTAGATTTCCTTTTTCTCATAAATTTTAAGCATAATCTATAGAATGCATCTATTATCTGTTCTAATAAATCATTTTAAACATTTAAATGTTTAAAACAAAAATTAATTTTTAAACTTGATTAAAATCCATTTATATTAAACAAGTTTAATATAAATTTATT